TAATGAAAGTTATTATCGGAAGTGCTTAACTGAAAAATGAGAACAGTCTTCACATGGAAGAAATGCGTGTTGTGGCTTATTGTGCCTTTAATTTACTTACTAATATAGAAAACGTGGAAAGCACCACTAGAAATAATCGTAGTGCTTTTCCTGATAACAGTCTGATATTTCATTTCCTGTATAAGTCGCAATTACCCTCTGATCTTTCTTCAGCATGCTTAACAATTTCTATTCCAGTTTCTACTTGTTTCTGGTTTATAGATTAATAAAGTATGGTGGCACAGTATAGGACTTGTATTTCTTTCAATAAAATCATTTATTTTGCTAATCAAGGAAGATGGAATGAAATTAAATCGACAGTTTAAAAAAAAGAAAGAATTTTTTTGATATTTTACATGATTTATCAAATTGTGTTAGGATGAAAGGACTTTCCACTGCTAATAAAAAAAACCTTTAGAAAAATATTGAATTTAAAATTGTATGATCAGCATTCTGTTGCTAACATGCATCATGATAATGTTAATCCTTTATTGCACATTATTCTTATCTTCCACTGCTGGGGGTGGGGTTGTTGGAGGTTGGAAAGTGTTAGATTTTTTTCCTTCCACTGCTAAAAACCTATGTGCAAACAAATTAATGAAATTAATATATACAATCCATATGTTAGTCCCCAAATATCAAAGTTTGTGTTGAGCGAATGTTAGAATGATTAATTACTAGAAATGGTCCTCATATGACATAGTTGTTCATTCACCATTTTGTCCCACCCCACTCTTACTACCTACACTGGTCATATGTGTAGTTATCCTCCTAGACTCCTCCTTATTCCTCCTTTCTGTCTTTCCTCATCTTTTATTATTGATTAGCTGATAATGTGAACATTACGAAGACTAATTTACATAAACTTATTTCACTGTCTAGGAATATCAATACATGTATTTGTACACATGTGGTGGTGTAAATCAAGTAAATCAATTCTCTTCACTTTTGTACGAGTGAATTAACTTTTTTTGTAAGTGAAGAAGATTAACAATCAGTCATGATACTTTGATCAGTCTGTCAATGTTGCGTAAAAGAAGAAAGTGTTTGTTGAAAAAGATAAGGGTCGTACAAATCAACGTTTGCTAGGGATGGATTTAGGAGAGATTTTTGTTGATGTGGTAATTGAATGGTGCCATTAAATTGATCCTTATTGAACAACCATAGCCGTGACGTATTGATCTAAATACTAGCCGGGCTATTTAGTTATTTTCGTTTCCCTAGTAACATCACATCAAGATGGTAATCGGCAGAAGTGACTTGGTCCAGGTTATACTTCTAAAACGATCCTGCTTCATTCTTTGATTGTTAGTTTATGATTAAAGGATTCATTGATGCCTACTTCAATCTTTACACAGAGAAAATAAAGAGATTAGAAACGATACTTTTTTGGTTACTTTTTGCGGGATGGCTTAGTCACAGTGGATAGTTAGCCATTTTGATTTTTAGTCACAATGGATAGTTAACCACTTGTTTTGTAGTCATGGTCGATAGTTGACCACTTCTTCTTACATCTGTCCACTTATGATTATACTATCTAGTGAACGAGACCATGGATGATCATGTCTACTGTATTCAAACAAAATAATCTTGTTCTGGTCTACCATATTCTAAGTCAGATAAAGGAATTTTAGAAAATGAGGTGCATCAAGAAAAAGAAGCAACCCATGATAGATTTATTAGAAAATGATTAATGTGGTTGTAAGTTTTGAGCTGAAAAGATGATAAATTATTTTACACCATTTAATTTCATTTCATATTTGCGGGTGTGTCACAAATTCTTTTGTTTATCCTGCAAAACAAATGAAGAAAAATGTGCAAAGTATGATTAGTTATAATTAGTAAACAGATCATAAGTCAGAGTTATTTATTAGTTTGTGGCAGGTAGAAGAAGTAAAAGGTTAACAGCTGTAAAAGGTGTGTTTATTTTGTAGAGTAGGTATAATGATATATTTACCTACTGTATGATTGACAGGCAAACAGATTATGCTGTCATTTACATCCTTAAAGGAGCACAACCTCGTAATTTTATGTCATTAAAATTTGATTAGTTATCTATCTATGATAACGTATAAGTGTAAGAGTTGAGCTAAAATTTATGAGCATTGTGCACTCATCCAATAAATTAAAAGTGATGTTACAGGTTCCAGAAAGAATAAATATATTCTGGCAGATATGTGCTGTTCTCAAAACAGTTCTGAGACCACCTCACTTCAATGGTCTAAATTGGAACGGTTCTCTGAAGGGAACGCTCACGTTCAAAACTACTCAAAATTGAACCATTCCGTTGTCGGAACCTTTGCTGGCCAACTTAAAAGTGATAATTTAAACATGGTTTATAGATGTAGGAAGTGGATTTCAGATGCTGAAGCATTTATTACATGGTAGCTTCTAATAATCAATAGTGCATGCTTCATTTTTGATATGGTTGGTGCAATATAGCTTGATTGATGCTGATATGCCATTAAACGCCATTACATTTCATTTACTGTATGTAACAGTAGCTTTGTATTAACTACACCTGATAATGTTGATATAATTATATGTATAATGTGATAGTTTATAGTATTGTTATGTCTATAATAACTATTTATAACACCCCACTGATGTAATGTTAGTTTTAGTAATGGTTTATGTTACATACTTCCTAACACTACAAATAATAGACTTACACGCAGTCATAAATCTTTTCAATAGTCTCCTTGGCCCTCAAGCATTAAAAATGTGTGAATATTTTGTGACAATGCATAAGACTGAAGGCTTAATTGACAGCAAATTGAATATAAATGGATGATTGCAGCACCCCTAGAAATGTTGAAAAATAATAAGATATTGTTTTAGGAATGTTCATCCTGTTAAAGTGTGTCTCATTAAGGTAAAAAACAAATAGAAAACATTCATTTTGACAATATTTGGAATTTCATTTATCATCAGTTTACAAAGCCAGTTTGTTTCCCATGATTTCATTTAGTTTAAGTGTTATGGATATAAAAAGAAAATCTCAGATAAAGATCAACATTACAGCTTATGAATAAACTGTAATATTGAGGTAAAATAAAAACAACCAACACTTGAATTTATGAATAAACTGTAATATTGAGCTAAAAAAAATCAATAAAACACAAAAAAAAAAGCATGACAAGAATCGACCTGTTTTTCTGGCTTTATGTATTGAATAAAGCTTGAAGATTTTTCTCTTTATTGTGTCATGTATTTTTGTTAGACTTGTGTATGAAGAAGAGGTATTAATAATATGATCATCTTATGTTGACATTCTGAGTTTCTCCTTGAGCATGGGTTTTAATTTTACTTCCAGATATCATTAGACAGTGACAAGTTCTCTGTTTATTTTGTCTTAAAGCAAAAAATACGCTCTCACCCTTGGCGAATGTTAGAATAAAGAATGTTTATGTTATATCTTGGGGTAACATTTTGTCTACATGTGGCCATGTTTGTCAAAAGTATTGACAGCTGGATCAAGTTTATTGGTCATTTTATAAAGTAACCAGAGAGTACTTGTCAAAATCTTGTAAATATAATTAAAGAAAGGTTTTAGCCACTTTAGAACCAGTAATCAAGTTTTAACAGGTATATAAATGGGGGGACCTAATAGACTTATCGCCCATTGATTATATTAATAATTTCTCTTTACTAATGTTAAAGTCATTCATTTAAGTGGTTTATAGTGCTCACATAAATATTTAAATGTTTGAATTCCAATAACTATTCAAGGCTATCTTTTAATACATTTTTTTAATAGAAATCAATTAAGCTAATGGAATTTGATTTATTTTTTGTCTATTATGACATATTTACTGATATTAATACAATGAAAGAACCAATATTAAAAAATAAACAGATACTGGAAAATATACTGAAATGAAAGATTTATATATTACAGAAATCAGTGAATGCACCAAAAATGGTCGAAACATTGATCTTTCAATTGAATTGATTGTTTGAATGGCATTTGAATAGTGACTTTAAAATATTTCATACGGTAGTAAAATGGCCCTTCAATGTGACCACTAGAGGTTTTGGAGAAGTTACCCCTTATGGATACCCTGCCTTGATCTTTACTGAGAAAGCAACATATTAAACATTTGTACAGTCCCTACAAAACAGACCTTCCCACATTATTGTATAAAAATATTTCTAGTTGATCCACAAACGGGTGGAACAACTTCATTTGAACAAACCTGATGATGCATGATCTAAGTCACTTTGGTTTGAAATCTGTCAAGCACAACTCTTTGTTGAAATTTGTCTACTGAAAGTGCTCCAACGCGCCCAGTTAAATGGGAATTAGCGGTAAATTTAAAGTTAATTGCTTTATTGGAAATACCTATCAGACTGTAATAAAAAACACACCCAAATTCTCATTTATCTGTCGCCGACAAAAATGATATTTGATATTAAATTTTATATTCTTCTTCTTTTTGTAATTGATTGCTGCTAATTTATGTGACAAATACGACTGTTTTAACAAAGAAACAAGTCAAAACAAATGATTTCTTTAGATTTTTCGAAGCTGTATATGTTATTATGTTGATTGAAAATAGTAATCTGTACGCTAGTTGTATCTACACATTATAAGAATTGACTATTATTATATCTTCACAACAGCTTAATCGTTAATCAGTTATAATATAATAATGATTTTATTGCTGTCTTATGATGATAAATGGTACAAAAATCTTTATTATTGTATAAGGTGGAGATAACTCTGTCTGGCTTTAAGTATAAAAAGGCTGCTTCAGTGACTGTCTGCTGATTTGATATCGTTGCTGAATGTTTCACATAGAGAAAGAGAGAGTTTGAATGATTCATTACAAAATACTATGCTTGATAATAATTGAATATGAACTCTCCCTTTGAACAACAAAGCTGTCACAAAATAAAAGTTGAAGTGATATTAATTTTTCTGATTTATAATTTATTTATTGATTGTGTATTTTCAGAATGTTGTGAAAAATGTATCAAATAATGTCACCACTAACAATAAGAAGAACTGTATAAAAAATGACACCACAAATAAACCAGAAAGTAGATCAAATACTCCAGTCACACAGAAAAATGCCACATTATCCAAAAAGAAATCAAAGAAAAAGGTTAGTAAAAGCTCTTGTCTGTCTCTTATATTTGTTTGCAGTTATTTGGTTCAGAAAACACAAATTAGATTTTCAATTTCCTTAATAAAAAAGGAAAGACCAATGATATTAGTTTGCTGATGATCCAGTTCCACCCTAACTTGCATTTGAAAATAGCTGCATTTTAGTCTCAAAGTGATGTAAGGAAAGTGTGGATAATATGTTACGCATAATTATATTGCTATTTCTTATTTTGGTGGTGGTTGGGGATGTACATTTGACCCACACCACCAGAAATACCGTTTTTCATCACAAATTTCTTTCTATCTTCACATTTACATTTTACCCTTTTACACAACAAAGATCCCAGTTTCTGAAATCTTGTGTTACCAGGAGATATTTCTGTGGTTGCTAATCTTCTTCAAAATGCCATAACTTTTTATTCACACCTCCAACTGTGTGAAAAAGTAGATAGCAAACATAAACTTATTTAAAAAACAAAAGGTTTATTATATCCTTGAGAAGTACATGTTCAACGAATAAATCAAATAAGAATGAGTTTATTGAGATTAAACCAAAATCTGCCTAGCTATTGATATAGAGATGACCTTCGACATTGGGTGTTATTTTTTTATCATGTCATCATGGGTAAGATTATACAACTGATAAGATTCACAGTGTAAACCGTCAACAGTCGTTTTAGTAATTGCATGTTTCACGATAAATGATAACTTAAATTCCTTTAAGTAATACCTTGTAGCACCTAATATATCAGCTGAAATAATATACTAGCTAGTTGAGCCTTTAATCTCACTAAATCCATCGAGAATCCACTAGAGATAGTTGTTATGGATAAGGTGTAATTTAACCAGCAGGCGATATGAGATTACTAATCCAGTTAGGATTACCCATAAAACTTCCCCCCAAGACAATAGATAATAGATAGATAGAGATAGAAAACAATATCTTGATGACATTGTGTCACTGAATGATTTTATCAGTCGGTCTCCTAGCTGGGTGCAATCTTAACTACATCTTTAACACAAATAATCAATTCTCAATAAACACTGGAATTACCTGCCCTTGATTTCAAGTATGGCATATTTTGATCACCTGGTGACAGTCAGTCGTCATAGAATGTGTGTACACACAATTATTGCACCTCAAGTAGTCTAAATTTTCATTTGATTTTGATAAGGTTGTCTTTTACAAGCCCTAAAAATAGAAGATCAGAACTCTTTAATGAAACTTTTTCTTGAAGTTCTTGAAACATATAACATGCCATTTAGAGACCCACATGAATGGGATATGAAAAATGAAGAGTCTATCTTCATGAGCCCAGTAGCTGCACAAAAGTAGGACATAAATCCCCCATTTCATTTCATTTTTATGAAACAAGATATTTAGATCCTAATGATAACCTCTACTCTCTTTAGTACTCCCAAATAAGTCTAGAATCCATGATATACCAATTTAGGATGTTGTTCAATAGGTGGAATATGCTTACTCTTTATAGAGAACATAGTTTTCTAGCCCAAGATGTTAAGTGTGTTTAAGATATTTGACTCAAATAATGTAGATTGTATATTTTGACAGGTTTCAGCTTCAATCCATAATTTCATCAATGAAATCTGATCAACAGCCTGTGGCCATATTAGATATATCTGATTTCTTCTAGACAAGGAAAGGGGTGTCGGTTTGCTTTAATTATGATTGACAGAATGACAGGTTGAATTACCTACAGACACACAAGGGGTCATATCTTTATTAAGGGATCATGGGTTACAAATGATAAACCAGTAGGGGTCAGTTACATTCTATTATTGTAGGATTCCAACCATACCACTTTGGAATTTCCTTAATATTTAAGTAGATTATAATCTCTAATATGTTGAATATATTTAACCTTGACAGAAACTGATGTTAGTTGTTGATTTTGGGCATGACACGAAAATCTAAAGTTATGTATTCTTTAAATATGGATGCATTCTTTATGTATGGTAGCGTGGCCAGGGCATTGACAATAGGCCCAGGGTTGGCCAGGTAGAACTCCTCCATAACAAAATCTTGGCTTTGACAGACTGCTTTGTCGAGCAGGATTGGCTACTGTATACCTTAGAAATTATTGATGGCTACAATTTGCCATCAACTCTTATCTGGGCATTTGCATGAATATTTTCTATGAATATAATTTAAAAAATACTTCAAAGAATCATGCTTGTTGAAAAAAAATACTTTGATTGAAAGATCTTTTAAAAAGAAAGGTGTTTGGTTTTTTTTTGGTGTAATTATGATAATTGTAAATAGAAAGGGAACAGACCTTTGATGTAGAGTAACATCAGAACAATGACAGTATTGACGGATTGTTGCTAGAAATCTAATTAATAATCAGAACGATATTGATTTTCAATTTTAGATTAACGCCTGAGGAATTCAACAACTACACATCATTTGCCAGTAATTCGCTCCAAATCTGTAGGGGTTTCACTTTTATTGAAATTTAATGAATTCGATTTGATATTTATTGGATGAGTGTGTAATTAAACACTAGCTATCACAACTAGTGAAAATTAATGGGATTTTGATAGCAGTTTGGTTTCATTTATTTCAATTATAGAGGCAATGAAGAATTGAACTGAAATAATGTCTCATTGATGATTTTTTATGATCGGGTTTCAAATTGTTATTGGGTAATTTTTTCCAGTATTATTTCCTTTGAAAGGATATTTTGTAGTTAACACATGAATTGCTATCATTAGTACAATCTATGGACAGGAAATAATATCCTAATTTATTACAAATATTCACGGATATCTAATATATCTGTGTGTAATATGTCTACAATTCAACGATATATCAGATCATGTGAAAAACTAAAAGACTCGTAAAAACAACAACCAGACGAGATCACATCAAGATTTTTAAAATGCAATTTTAGAGATGATGTCATCACTTGTTATTGAAGTATCATTCAGGATTGGATTTAATCCGATTTGTTATCGACACCCATTTTGAAATCTTTTTTGTTGATAACTTCTTCACGTTTGTTGCTCGCCTTTCAATCAAGATTTGCAGACGTATTACCATTTATGTTCAGACAGACCCACATGACCTGTTCATTAAATGTGATTTATCTGGAAAATTATGATCCACAAATGGTAGAAATCCCTAGACAGATTGGATAGGATGTTGTAGAATTGGGCTGAACAGGAATGTATGTGATCTGACTAAAGAAACGTGATGGGAATACTACATCTTTTTTTTACACCAATCTTCAAAAACCAGTCCATCTTATAAATCACATTGATATTTTAGATATAAAGATATTTAAGAAAAGTTTGAGGATTAGATTAGGTTGGAAATAAAATGAAAGTTCATAACATTAAAGAAAATAGTTTTTAAAGTAATTTGGGATAATTTTAACAGATATATGTTACTGTTAGTGAATAAGGACCCTCATATTTTGCAGCACCACATACCTTCCAAAATATGACTGACTTCTAATTCTATTCTATGACTGTAAAATCTGTAATTTTTTAATTTAAACTTCTTAATGGCCCTGTAAATATAGGTCATTTTAAAAGTATCCTGTTGTTAGTTTTATTTGAAGAATGAGACAGCCTATTAGTAAGTGCAGAAGAACCACATGTACATAAGAAGAATCTCTTTGCAATCATGAAACTGTGTTGTCTGGTTACTGATTCTATTTCTATCAGGAATAAAAGCTTTAAGGCTACATTCACATTGGGATTAGAAGCTGCATCATGGTGCATAAAAATAGTATTAATATCAGGATTTATATAGCAGATTATGAAACACTTAGTTCTTAGTGTACTTTCAAGTATTTTTTCATTGGTCACATAACACAATTTTGGGAATGATGGGATTTTCAATGTTTCAAAACAATTTGGTTGTCTGGTTGCAGAAATGTAGTACTGCAAGCACAAAAGATTTTTTGCTTTATTAGTGGTGTGAATAGAAATCTCTTGATAAAAAGCATAGTCCTTGGATGAATTCATCATGGTGGTCCAGCATTTCCGTCATGTACTTCGACCGTTTTTCATTTTGGTCTTTTGTACGTAAGGAACAAGATTTTAAAGATAATCTGATGTTTCCACAAAACCCAATTTCATTCTTCAGTTTTGTTAAGAGATTCAGAATGTCCAGGATGTCTGAAGCAGTGGATAGGTCAGTAAAGACTAACATAATGCATTGCTGTTTGTCCAAGACTCTAGAGATGTCACCAGTTATTTTAATACTGCTGTGCTATGAAATTGTTTATATGCTGACTAGATGGTAGTTTTTTATACTCTGGTCTAAGTTTGGTTTCTTCAAAAGAGGTCTAATGATTGTGTAGCTAAGATCAGATGGTAATAGACTTGTTTCAAGAGGTCTGTCATTTATTTAGCACAAAATTGGAAAGAGCTTTTCAAGATGTTGTTTTAAGAGATGTGTTTGCATAGGGTTGGGCTCACATTATGTTCAAGGCAGGAGGATTGGTTACAGATCTGATTCAATATATGAATGCAGATACTTCTAGCAAGATCTTGATCTGAAGGTTCGAGTAGCAGCTCAAATAATGTGATTTATTAAACTAGTTATGCTTCTCCTTAAATATATTATAGCTCAAACAGTATTTGTTACCTTCATTAGGATCATAGGTGATCACATATTTTACAGTTCTACCAAATGTGCTAGTCCATTTTGTAAAATTCTCACTTGAATTTTAATCCTATTGCTGTAAAGGCGGATGTTGATCCAAACCTATTTGCCTCCGGTAATATGAATGTGAACATGGCCTAAGATGGTATTATATGCCAACTTTGTATTAAAGTTGAAGCAGTAATATATCAGCCTCTAGGGCGCTTATTTTAATCTAATAAACATGAGAATAAAGATAAGTCTAATACAAGAATAACATATTGAAACCAGTATTTGTAATAAGATTATAGAAGATTTGATGTATGTTTTAGATCGACTATAATCATAGTGATTGTAGTTGTGTGATAAATGAATTATAG